GCCGGTTCCCTGCCAAGGGGAGCAGTCCTGCCCGCCCGGTGCCTGGATTTGGCCGCGGAGGGGAGATACAGCGGGGGCCACATCCAGCTCTCGCAGCTGCTCGCGCCGCAGGAGCCTCCCCAGGGACCCCGAGTGTTTCTCTCCGCCACTCGGTGCAAGGTTTGACCTTCGCTTCCTTCCTCCACCCACACGCCCTCGGCTTTCCAGCCGCTGTCCGGCATCCTTCGACTTTCCAGAGAATTCAGATCGCCAGCTTCAAATCACACTTTCCCCTTCCACCTCCCTCCCGCACCCCAGTGAGCCAACACGGAGGGGGGCAGGGGATAATAAAACACATTAGAGAGATTGTTTCCCTAGGTAAAATAATAAATACCAAAACGCTGCCAGCGAGTCAGGTTTCAAAAACCCTAATTTTCACATTCTCCCACACAGGGAAGGGTTTGGGGGTCTCCGGAGTGGGATTGTTGTTCTTGTAATGAGGGGTGGGGGGTTGCTCACCCCCCTACACACAATGGATGGGGTGTGGGGAGGGTGTTTTGGGGCTCCTCCGAAGCAGAGCCTTTCCTACTGCTCAATTATTTTCCTTTTCTAAGCAGGCTCCCGCCACGGCTCGGATTCGGCAAGAAGAGCAAAGGGAGATCCCGGAGGAGGAGGTGGCACCTGAGACCGAGGAGGAGGAGGAAGAGGAAGGCTTTACTAGGCGTCAGGCGAAGGCAGAGATTAGGCTTTGCAGCTCCAGATAGCAAAGGGGAAGATGATGTAGGACGTCGACCAGGCGAGGCAATAGACAGAAGCCACCGTTGCCGGCAAGAAGAGGACGACTGCCACCCCTACGGATTGGGAAAAGCCTTTGGGATCTGCTCCTTCCTCCTCCGCCGCCATCTCGGTGGGTTTAATTACCCCCCGCCTTGATTTTGTCCCCGTCGTTACCTCCAGCATAAACCATTTTCTTCCAGAGCTGGGACTCCAGCACCTTGTCGTGAGGGTAGAAACCCCGATCGACCATGAAGAGGATCATGACGATGGCGGTGACGCGCAGCAGGGTG